GGGGGGGGGGGGGGGCTTCTCAAGGAAAAAATGAAAAGCAACCCACCCACCCCCAATAATAAAAATAATAATTTAATAAATTAAAAAAAAAAAAACAATATTCACTATTAATAGTAAAGTATTAGTATGATAATATTCAACCCCCAGCCAATTCGATGAATGATTCTAATCTGACCAGTTTATATTAATATATTAATTCATATTAAAACAAAATCTTTATCACTTTCTAAACTTGTATTTGAAAAGTTGAAACACTAAAAATGTAATTTTGACAAACCAACTGAAGTATTTTTTTCCTGACGGATTACCCCGGTATATAAGAAATGCCAGCCTCTGGTATCTAACACAAATGCCTGGTAAGGTACCTTGATGTCTTGTGAAAACATGTAATTATGTAAAAATAATTCTTCAATGTCAATTGCAAAATATTGGAAAAAAAAATTAATTATTTTATTGAGGAACGTATCACCTGTCCTTAATCAGTAATCGTAACTTGACATATTTCTTTATTTACTTTTTAATCGATCTTTTTAGTAAACCTTTTCTGTAAATAATTTCATTAAATGTACCCTTCCTTAGCTCTTCCATTTTTCAAAGGAACATTCATCATAGACAGCTTCAAGAAAGTGGGATCGGAAATGATTGATTTTTACATAACTGCATGCACTTACTTTTTTCTATTCCACTTCACGCATTCTATACGAGTTTACCAAAACTTATGTGATAAATCAAATTCAAAATTAAATTAAATTAAATATAATTCAGTTCAATAAAATTAAATTAAAATTGAATTGCGTTCACGGTGCTGAAATATTAAATTAATCACACAGAAATACACATCTAGTTATTTTAACTGTTTGAAGTTAATTATTTTGATACAGCATGTAAACACTTTTGAAATATTTCTATAATTGGTAAAAATATGTTAACATAATTAAATATTTAACTTTTTGTAAAATAAAAGGTAGGTGGTTAGCATTGAGATATACTTTCAAAGTTTCCCTGCCTGGGAAACATGGGGAAAACTACACATTGGTGGCTTCCATGTCGGGAATCTGTATGGAAACCACTGAGGCATGTTTACATGGTTTCCTATCTTGGGAAACTTACGGGAAACCACCGGTTGGTTGTTTCCATATCGGGAATCTACATGGAAACCACCGGGGCATGTTTCCATGGTTTCCTATCTTGGGAAACTTACGGGAAACCACAGGTTGATTGTTTCCATGTCGGGAATCTATGTGGAAACCACCGGGGTATGTTTCCATGGTTTCCTATCTTGGGAAACTTACGGGAAACCACAGGTTGATTGTTTCCATGTCGGGAATCTATGTGGAAACCACTATGTGGTTTCCATAAAATGGAAACTATATGGAAACTACTGATGTCATGATTCCCATATGTTTCCATCGGGTTTCCAAATTTGGGAAACCTGGCTTTTCATCCTGTGTAAAATCATTCTTTCTCACATATTCTTATAAATTAAATCAAAATATATTTCACAACAAATAATTCAAACAAAACACATTATTCAGTTCATCTCAAAATACATTCTTTTGTAAGATAGTGCCATTTATACTCAATAAATTTATCGACTATACAACCAGTAGGAGAAGAATTTATCGAATAGATTAACAAGTTTCTAAACCGGAAGTACATCGTACAGAAGAGCTCCAAAACTGTCCAATCGTAACTACTCGGCCATTTCCGTGAACGATAAATAAATAGTTATTTCTTTTTCGGAAACTGGCCGAGTAGTTACGATTGCAAAACTGTCATGTGCCAAAAGAAGATAAGACTGTTTACAGGTAGCATATCAATTAAGTAACTCCAAACAAACAACAATCACATACTTTTACACACGGTTATAGCCTTGTAATATATACATAGGTAATAATTTACAAATGGCTCACTATGAATCTACCAAACTCTAATTCATTTCGAATTATCTCTGTCATGTTTACATTACCAACATACTATGATACTACAATTTACAAATACAGTTACATAACTTAAAAGTATACACGCTATAACTTGCGCCAGTTAAAATACGATTGGCAATTGATATCATATGTTTATCAATAAAAGTTACGAAAATACTGTAAATTACACCATTAAAATTAAACGCGTTACAAAGTTATCAAATTATAATTATTTATTATCCTGCAAGGAAAGAAAAATAGCTATTTTTAAATAAATCCATCACGTGACGCCGTCGCTACTTTTAGATTGATAAACACACGTGGCGTAAAGAAAACAAGGTAGGCCGTCTGAGATACTACTCACTTTTGACGTGGATGGAAAGCGTCTTACTCTTAACGGTACTTATCTTTTAATGTATTCAGTATCAACCATCTTCTCTGTTATGACGCATATTGACCTTATATTAATAATTGTTGTCAAAATGCCGCGTTGTCTGTGATTTCCCGTGGACATGTGTTTCTATATATAGGCCTACTGTTTACGCACTTCCTTCATCAATATTCATGAAAAGACTGATTTCTTAATTCCTAGATATGTTTAATTGTTTTGTTATCACAACGACATCTATAGTACAATTTTGTGGAAAGCATTATTTTTCATTACACTTCATGTGTTTTAAATCATTAATCATTTTGTTTTACACAAAATTCGGCGTTCATACAGCGTATATGACTTTAAGTACAACTTTGCGAACAGCACATTCATAGTAAAACAAAATAAAAATTCTTGAATAAACAGACTTCATCAAACTGTTCCAAATCACCATAAAGCATGATAACATATTACAGAAAAATCAACCCGCTCCAAGCTCACACAATTACAGTAAAATATTACAGACATTGACTCAGAATAAAACTGTGTGAATAAACAAACTTCATCAACCCGCTCCAAATCACCATAAAGCATGAAAACATATTACAGACATTGACTCTCTTTGATAGAAAAATCAACCCGCTCCAAGCTCACACAATTACAGTAAAATACTACAGTCATTGACTCAGCATGGATAAACACTATTATTTTGGACTAAATAATAAATGCCATATACCCTAACTTTATTACATAAAATTAAAAAAGGAGGGGGGGGGGGGTCACATACACTACAAAAAGTATTTTAAAAATGTTCATTTTCTTTTTATTTTAATTAATTATTCAATTTTTATAAATTTTGACAAAGGCAGTAACTCCTTCTCAGGTATCTTCATTCAGGCATTTTCTTTATTGTATTTCTTATGTAATTAGTTTCCTTGGCATTCACAATAATTATTCTAAATTATCTTCGAAGTAACAAGTATATCGGAATTTTCGGCACCAGAATTATGCATTTGAACCATATTTTACATAATTTTTATCATAAAATTTACAAAAAAATGTACATTTTTTTATGTTGACATACTCTTCTGTTTAATTATGTCTCCTATCCTAAATGATATGGCGACCTATACATTTTTTGCAATAATTAGTAAATTTGAATTATTTGATTAAAAATCAATGCAGTTTTTGTACTTTGAACCATTAAAATTGTAAGGGTGGAAAAAACTTAAGATATAACATTTATGATTCATCATAATAGGTTTGCAGTGGCTTGACATCCCTTTCCATTATGACGTCAAATATAAGTAGATCTTAAGAAATTAAATTTCATTTTTAGAGTTTCATTGGGATATGACATGAAGTCGGTGATCATATTCTATTATGCCTGAAGGGATTCATAGTAGATTTGATCACGCACTGACTTCATGTCACATCCTTATAAAACTCTTTTTAAGATAATTTTAGTTCTTATATTTAAATTTTATTTTTTGTGTTACATGGAAAAATTGGCACTATTTTTACTTTGTCATGGAAATGCAACATATCATACCTACAATTTCAAATGACGTCCCAATCGGAACTTTCCAAATGAATGCAGTTTGCTTTCCATATACAATACAGTTTTATCATATGAACTACTGCATTCTTTGAAATTTAAATTTCAATTTAATTAGTATTGTCATATGAAAAAACATCGGCAAATGTAAATATTGGCGCACTCTACACTGTGATACTGTTTTGGAAGCCCACCTGCGTGGTAAATTTCTTTTTTACACTAAAAGATGAAATGTGTGGTCATTCAATGTGCTTCAAAAATGGATTTTTTTCTTTTGTTTGTACAAAGTCTCTTCGAGGATTTTCACTCATACTGAGACCCATTTCTTGCTGCTCGGTAAAGGGCTGCAAATTTAGGCCTGTACTCGGTACCTAATGTCTTTGAGCAGTAGCTTCAGTTTTATGTGAAGGACCGTTTCCACGGAAAATAGATATTCATAAACACTTTAACTACCGAAATGTTCTTGCAAGTGTAAGATAACTCATGGTAACTGTTCATGTAGAAATCAAAACTCTAATGACAATGATTTGTAAACATCAATCTTTTAGTAAACAGGGAGCTCTGATCTTTTAATAGGCTGCAGAATTTTATTTCTTGTATAAATTTTGTCAGGATTTCATCTGTTCATACTACGTCTGAAAATCAAACGTATGCTCGCAATTCACTTTCCAAACCTGAAATTCTTCAAAATCAGATTTCAGTGTTTTGTATACTTTTAACATTTCAGTTAACCAAGATGAGTTCAATCTACCTTAACATGACGGGATTCCAAAATTTCATAAAAATCCTTAAAAACAAAATACACTTCCGGGTTCAGAAAATGTTTTACCAAGTCCCCATCTTTACTCCTTACAAAAATTTTACCTGTTGTTAAGGAGAATTTTCAGATGTGCCCTGCTACAGCATATTCTAGATGTAGTGTAATTATGTTCTAATTCGTTCACACTCTAACGAACATAAATAACTTATACCATAAATAAACACAGTGAGTAGGTAGCGCTCTCAAGAGTGCAGTTTATTTTCAACATCATACAAGAAAATAATCTTCGGTAAATAATCCTGAAAAGTTCATTCTCTTTAATAAAGAGAAAAAGATAATATGAAATATCATAATATAAAATACTGTGTGGGTGGGTGCGTGGGCACCATGTCTATACTGCACGAAGAGAGAGCCTTCGAATGGGGTTCACTTGTTAAGGTAGTCCGATACTCAGGTTTATAAAATTAGCAATTAAGTAATCAAAAATACTCATAAAAGTATCTCTGAATCCACAAAGTTTTTTTTAATGTATTTCTTTAAAGTTAAAGATTAAAGTTAATCATATTATATGGGGAAAATTGCCAAATCTCCAAAATTTTTGCAGAAAAAGCGAATTGGAATTTCTGCAATGTATTTTCTAATTGCAATTTGATCCACAAATATATATTAGATTTAAAAACAACAGGTATCCAGTCATTCAGAGAAATTGTCATGATTTTTATACCTACTTGGTATTTTTGTCTTTTATTTCAGTCATATATTCTATAGTACATAGTATAAAAGGCTTTTGCTATCATTGCAAGACACCATAAATCACTTCGTATTTCATATCATGCCATTAAGCATTGGTATCTAAGCCTGGATTCAAGAAAATCTTATTTCTCTAAGACTGTATTAATGTTTTTCCTTTTATAGGGTACAAATGTCAACTTTCATAAGACCATTAAAGACGCAGATGATGCCCTCTCTGCCTTGCGTCTTGGGAAAAAAATTAAAACAAATGAACAATGGGAGTCGACAAAAAAAGAGGTCATGGAGGATATCCTTGAAAACAAGTGTGTTCAAGTCCCAGTCTTCTTAGAAAAGCTGAGAACCGCTAAGCAGTCCACAACCTTTGTAGAGGCCACCTATAACAACGAGTGGGGATCGGGACTGGATCGTACGGGAACACTAAATACCAAACCGGAACACTGGCCGGGATCTAATACCCTCGGTGTCATGATGAAGAAAATCTCAAAAAAAATTCGAAAAAGGAAACTAAGCGACAGCATTAGTCGTAAACAAAAACAAGCACATCGTGAACAGTCTAGACAGCGAAATATCGTTCAGATGCTGAAGGATCTTAGAACTGCATCCGATAGTGACGTTTCTGGATGCAATGCCGATTCTGATAGCTCTGAAGGGGACAAATAAACATCCAAAATCCTCAATCCAGACGCTGTATATAAATGAATTGAACTTTTTGTATTATTATACTTCTGTTAAAATGATTCCTATATGAAGTTCCGAAGGTAAAATAGCTATCTTTTATAGTCCACGCATAGCAAAGCTATACCCCGGGGTATAGTTTTTGCTATCCACCCTCGGAAAATTTTCAAGCAATTGTTGCCGCCAATTTTGATTTCCAGCGATAAATCTTTAAACTGATGAGGTCATAATGACTTCAGTAGCATTGTGAAGTCATCAGGATTTCAGATTAATCTTGCAGAATTATCTTACTCCAAAAAAATTTAAAATCTCGGAAATTATATCATACATCAGTATAATAAAACGCTTACCCACTGGTTGTGAGTGGGATAGCTCTTTTATCAAACCCTTGACAGGAACTATTCCCCTCGGGCAAGCCCTCAGGGAATAGTTCTCTGTCGCGGGTTTGATAAAAGAGCTATCCTACTCACACCCGGTGGATAAGTGTATACTATCACATAGGTACGTGTATTTAAACATTATTTACTTAGAAATGTAGAACTACCTCATGTGTAATTTAAACATAATATCTGTCAATGTCAGAGGATTGAATTTGTTTGAAAAAAGGAATAAGTTTTATCTTTGGTTAGAACAAAATAGATTCGACGTTGTATTGATACAAGAAACTCATTATATAGATAAATTTAAAGAAAAATATAACTCAAATTGGAAAGGTATATCCATACATGCTTTTTCTGATTCTTCATATAGTAGAGGGGTTTCCATACTATTTCGTAAAGAACTTAATGTAAATATTCTTAATATGCACAAATCTGAAGATGCAAGAAAACTTTTAGTTAATGTCAAGGTAGATGACAACTTAATTACATTTATTAATGTATATGCACCTAATAGTGAAAATGCTCGAATAACCTTTTTCAACAGACTTAAAACATTTACTTCTTTGTATTCCTCTGAAGGAAGTAAAATATTTCTCTGTGGAGATTTTAATTGTAGCTTTGAAAAGAAAAGTGATAAATCGCAAAAGCGCTTATTAGAAATTTTAAATCAATTAGATCTTGTAGACCTTTGGCAATATAAACATCCTCAGAGAGATGGTTTTACCTGGTGCGATTCAGATAACTGTCCTAAAAGCAGAATAGATTATGTATTTGTAAGTAGCGATACTTTAAACTTTATGAAAAATATAATTATTAGACGCATACCAGGCACACACAATAAAAACACTAGAATGAGCGATCATAGATACTTAAAAACATCTGTGGATTTTAACAAACAAGAACGCGGCTCCGGATATTGGAAATTAAACGTATCTCATTTAGATAAGACTGAATATAAAGAAGGTGTCATCAAGATTTTTAATGAATTAGATAAGTCGCTGGATTCAATTTCAAAATGGGAATTATTCAAAGTAAAGATTCGCGATTTCTCAATACATTATGCTAAACAATCAAAACACAACATAAAAATGAAGATACAGTTAGTTGAAAAGAAAATTGATGAACTTGAAAATCTTCCTAGGGCTCAAATTAATATGAACGAAAAAAGAAAATTGGAAAAAGATTTAGATGAAATGCAAAACGAATTGGCAAAAGGCGCACAAATAAGATCTAAAGCACAATGGATAGAAGAGGGCGAAAGAAACACAAGTTTTTTCCTTGGATTAGAAAAGAAAAACCAAACTAATAATACAATTTTTGAAGTACGAAATGAAACTAAGACATTTTCTTCAAATTCTGAAATATTGCACGAAATGTGCACTTTTTACAAAAACCTTTACAGTAGTAAATTAATTGATAATGCTGAAATATCCGAATATCTACAAAATGTTAATTGTCCAGAATTAGAAAATAAAGAGAAGGAAAAATGTGATGCAATGCCTACAATAGATGAATGTAAAGAAGCTGATTTTAATATGAAAAACAATATATCTCCTGGCTTAGATGGTTTACCGTGTGAGTTTTATAAATGTTTTTGGAACACTATAAGCTCCTTATTTTACGAAGTACTGCTATCCGTTTTTGACAATAAAGAGTTGACTTTTTCACAACGCATATCTCTTATTACAGTTTTATTTAAAAAAGGAGACAAGAATGATTTAAAGAACTATCGACCTTTAAGTTTAACAAATACTGACTATAAGATAATAGCTTTCATATTTGCAAGAAGATTACAAAAAGTTATAGATCAATTAATAAGTAATGAACAATCAGCATATATTAAAGGACGTTATATCGGAATTAATGCTAGAACTGTTTTAGATATTTATGAACATTGTATGGAAAATAATAGTGAAGGACTTTTGTTATTTATAGATTTTGAAAAAGTTTTTGATTCGATAGAATGGAATTTTTTATTTAAAGTACTAGAAAAATTTAACTTTGGGGAAAACTTTATCAGATGGATAAAAATTTTATACACCAACCCAATTTTTAAAGTAAAAAATAATGGTTGGATTTCCAAAACGTGTTCTATGTCTAGAGGCATAAGACAAGGGTGTCCCATTTCAGCCTTGCTATTTTTATTTGTCGCAGAAATATTAGCTATAAAAATAAAAAGTAATGAACATATCAAAGGTATTAAACTAAATACAACTTCTCCAGAAATAAAAAATCTACAACATGCGGATGACATAACTTTAGCTTTAAAAGATATATCCTCATTAGAAACAGCAATGGAAAGTGTTCAAACTTTTTGCAACCATGCTGGATCAAAAATTAATCTGAATAAAACACAATGTATACTTTTAGGTAGTCTCAAGGACAGGCACTCAAATGTGTGTGGTATAAATGTAACTAATGATGCTGTTCGCTGCTTAGGTATTTTTATTGGTCATAACAAAGACCAATGCTACAACTTAAATTGGATTAAAATTTATGAAGATATGGAAAAACTGTTTGAATCATGGAAAAAAAAAATTAACAATTTTTGGAAAGTCTTGTGTAGTTAATTCTTTAGCTTTATCAAAATTAATATATGTTGGCTCCATATTACCAATTCCAGACTACGAGTTGATAAAAAAATTTAAAAGTAGTGTATTCAATTTTATATGGAACAAACGAGATAGAATTAAGCGAGACACTGTTATAGGCAAACAAGAAAAAGGGGGAATAGGATTAGTTGATATTGAACTAAAATTAAAGGCCTTAAAGGCATCTTGGGTAACAAGACTTAGTGATGAATCTTGTATACTGAATAAAGTCATAAATGGATACCTGAATGAAATGAATATAGACATTAATTATTTACTTACATTGTCTGAAAGAAAACTCGAAAACTTTTCACTTATTTCTCACCTGTCTACTTTTTATAAAGAAATATTCTGTTATTTCAATGAATGTAAAAAGGAAATAGAAATATCAAATTTATCAAATGTCAAATTTGCACAACAACCACTTTGGAATAACATTTTATACCAATTTAAAGGTAAAACAATATGTTTTAAAAATTGGATTGCAAGTAATATTTTGTATACGAAAGATCTCTTTGATGAAAATGGTAACTTTAAAACATTACAAGAAATTTCAAATACTTTGATAAATAAATCTAACTGGTTGTGTGAGTACAAGATTCTAAAAAAAAGTAGTAACGAAACAGAGTAACATGTTTGATATGAAGTGTTGTATTTTTACCAAGACAACTCCTGTAAATTCTTTCAATTTTAACAGTGGTTTAAATTGTATTACAGATAAAAAATGTAAGTTTTTCCATGAGAATATGTTGTCTAAAAAGTTTAAATATCCATGTTATCAATCAATATTAGGTCGAAACTTCTGTGTGAGTAAAGAATACTGGTGTAATATTTATAGAAATAAAATCAAACTCATGTATGATAAACGTCTAAATGAATTTAATCATAAATTGTTGAATAATATTCTATGCTGTAATTCTTTTTTACAAAAATGTAAATTAAGAGAAAATGCAAAATGTGAATTTTGTGGAAATGAAAACGAAAATATAAAACATCTAATTTTTGATTGTGATAATGTAAAAGGTGTATGGCAAAAGTTGAATATTGTTATGCACTATGATGTGCAATGGAAACATATTGTTGTAGGATTTTACTTGGAAACAAATTCAAGAATTCGTTTTTATAATACTATAATATCATATTTGGCATATAAAATATATAAATTTAAAATGAAAAGCAGAATAGAAAATATTATACAAGAGAAGTTCATGTTAGAAAAAAGCATTAGATATTCATTAGAAAAAGATATAAATTTCATGTTAAATTTGTCAAAAACTGGTATGTTTAAAGACCTAGTCAAACTTTTAACAAATTTGTTATAATGACTTATTTTGTAATTTTCTTTTTCTTTGTTGTTTTTATGTTGGTTATCCTAAATACCCGGGTTAACTGGCAATTTGTAAATGGGTATTGATTAGTGTTGGCAAATCGGACGATTTTTAGTAACCGGTTACTCGCTCAATCTTCCGATCGAGTACCCGGTTACTCGGACGATTTATTCATATGTATCATTTATCTCATCTTTTACTCATCGGTTCTAATAAAACACAAAGGTATTGTGAATTAACTTTATTTATAAACTTAAAAAGAATACGCACGCAATATCTTGAATTTTAGATATAATTATAATCAAAAAATTAATTAAATCAGAAGAAAAATAAATGTTTCACGCTATTTTACAATGGCGTTCATCAGTTTTACTTTTCAACCCCCGATATATGTCACGATCAAAGAGAATAGTTATTTAGAAATTTGAAGTCACAATAACTCCAATTCATATTAATTACATTTCACAGGTATGGAATCAGCTGTTCTTTTAAAATACTTTCAAGCTATAGATGTCTTTGGCGGCATCTCGTTAAATTATTTAATGAGGTAATTGTGACTTGGCAATCAAAGCTATCAATTTAGTGTGAAAACCAATCAATCGTATTAGTGAAACCGTAGATCATTAAGTCTAACGGTAAAGAAAATTAGAGAAATGTTTATTTGTACGCTTATAAACAAATTAACA